CGGGGACGAGGGGCTCCTCGGACGCTGCCCACCGCTGCCTGGCTCTCGCCCGCCCCAGCCGGGGGCCAAGCCGGAGCCGCCCGGGACCGGGGCAGCTGGCCGGGCACAGCCCTCCGCAGCAGGCGCCCGCTCGGCTTTCTCTTGCCCATGAACTGCATGAAAGACCCATTAAGCCTGGAGCGCCTGGGAGCCGGGAATAAGCTGTGCTCCACTTCACCCTCCTCCTCCTCTTCTTCCTCCTCCTCCTCCTCATCTTGCCACCATCACCAGCCGGCACTGGGCATGGCTTCTGCTCTCGCTCCCGGGCAGCCTCGCTCGTCCTTGGACTCCTCCAAGCACCGGCTGGAGGTGCACTCCATCTCGGACACCTCCAGCCCCGAGGCCGCAGGTTAGAGGGAGATCCCCCCCCGCCCCCTGCATCCCCTCCTCCACTGGCGTCTGCTGCCTCCCTTCCTTCTGCTCCCCCGGGTGACTTCTGCAGCCTCGATCCCTCCAACCCCGGGGCTGGGCCCTCGCCCCCCGCTCCCACCCCGTGCGGGCACCGCTGCCCCCCGGGTTCCGCAGCATCTTCTCCCGGACTGGCACCCCGCGGAGCCGCCTCCCCCGGGCAGAGCGGGGCAGCTAGTTGCTTTCTTGCGGGAGCTGCCGTGGGATGCGGCACGTGCAGGCACTCCTCTGCCGGCCCATTGAAACCCGCCCGTGAGGACCGAGGTGTGTTGAGATCTGGCCTGTGGATCCACGCGCTGCGAGCTCCTCGTGGCCCGCACGAGACCTGCCTGCAGCTGGATGGACTGTGCGGGGCTAGGAGAGCTGTCACGGGGCAGCCCACCTGTCTGGGGAGCTGTGCATCCAGGGGCGGATGCCTGGAGCTGCCCCAGGACGGGGTCGAGGTGCAGAGACAGGGACAGGGGTTGTGCTGGAGGGACGACCCCTCGGCCTCTAGAAGGATGCGCAGAGCTGGGGAGTAGTCGTGGTGGTGGGATTAGTAGCGAGGGGGTGTGGGTGTTGTGTGTCGGTCTTGTGCGGGTATGGGGAGGTGTTGTGTGTGTGTGAGTGTGAGTGCTGCTGTGTCTAAGTGTGTGTGGGTGTTGTCGGTGTTGGGGGTATGTCTAGATGTGGGTGTTGTGTGTATAGGTGGGTGTGGGGTTTGTGTGTGGAGGGTGTTGCGTGCCTCTGGATGTGGGTGTTGTGTGTGGGAGGGTTGTGTGGGGGGTTGTGTGTGTACGTGTGCGTGGGTGTTGTCGGTGTGTATGTGTCTGTAGATGTAGGTGTTGTGTACATAGGTGTGTATGGGTGGGTGTTGATGTGTGGGGGGTATGTGTCTAGATGTGGGTGTTGTGTATTGGTGGGTGTTGGTGTGTGGAGGGCGTTGTGTGTGTGTGGATGTGGGAGTTGTATGCATAGGTGTGGGTGGGTGTTGGTGTACGGGGCTGTGTATCTAGATGTGGGTGTTGCGTGCATGTGTTGTGGGTGTGGGTGTTGTGTGTGTGCGGATGTGGGTGTTGTGTGTGGGTGTTGCCCAGCCCGTGTCCATCGCATGCAATCTGCCGGGGTGCCTCTGCTTTGCTGCCTGCCCTGGCCCTGCGAGAGCAGGCTCGTGACTCTGGGCCGTCCCTGCTTTTGCAGAGAAAGAGAAAAGCCAGCAGAGCAAGAATGAGGACCCGGGGGCTGAGGATCCGTCCAAGAAGAAGAGGCAGCGGCGGCAGAGGACTCACTTCACCAGCCAGCAGCTGCAGGAGCTGGAGGCCACTTTCCAGCGGAACCGCTATCCGGACATGTCCACCCGGGAGGAGATCGCGGTCTGGACCAACCTCACGGAAGCCCGAGTGAGGGTAGGTGCGGAGCGCGGGCCACCGGGGGTGCGGGAGGCGACCGGGCCCGAGCCGCTCTGTTCCTCTGCAGGGCGCGGGCTTGGCCGGGAGCACGGCCCGGGACAGGCTGCAACCTGCGCCGCTGCTAATGAAAAAAAGGTGCAAAATCCACAAGGGCTTTGACTTCCTCCTCGGCGCCCGAGACGTGCCCTTCCTTGCGTTTTCTCTTTCGTTTGGTTTCACAACTCTCCCGGCGCTTCCCTCGCCGGCCCGCCCGGCTCTGATTTATGAGACCTCAGCAGCTCTTGGGCCGGATCCGGATCTCTTGCAACTCCCTCCCGCTCCCTTCCCGCGGCTCCCAGACACATCTCGCAGGGCTCCCTGCAGTCTCCACGTGCAAACCAAGACGTGTGGCTCGCTCAGGGGGTGCAGGGGCCCCTGGGGAATGCCAAAAACTGCGGCTGAGCTAGGAAATCAGTGCATCGCCTTTAGCAGTAGTGCCAGTGTACTAGTACTGTTACTCTTAGTGTCATCGTTAGTATTAGTGTTAGTTTTGGTGTTAGTGCTAGTAGTAGTGTTACCATTAGTGTTATTAGTATTAGTATTAGTAGCAGCATTAATCGTAGTTTTAGTGTTAGTATTGGTGTTAGTGTTATTAGTATCATTAGTGTTATTATTGGTGTTAGTGTTAGCATCATTCGTGTTTGTGGTAGTGTTATTTGTATTACTGTTAGTATTGGTATTAGTGTTAGTATCATTTGTATTAGTGTTCGTGTTATTAGTATTAGTGTTAATATTAGTGTTGGTATCAGTATTAGTTTTCGTTAGTATTAGTATCATTAGTATTAGTGGTAGAATTGTTATTAGCGTTAACGTCATTAGTGTTAGTCTTATTAGTGTTAATATTGGTGTTAGTGTTATTAGTATCATTAGGATTAGTGTTAGAATTGGTGTTAGTGTTAGCAACATTAATGTTATTAGTATTAATATTGTTAGTGTTAGTATCATTAGTATTAGTGCTAGAATTGGTATTAGTGTTATTAGTATTAGTATTGGCTAGTATTGGTGTTGGTGTTATTAGTATCATTAGTATTAATGTTAGTATCATTAGTATTAGTGTTAGAAATATTAGTAGCATTATTTCTGCTGCTGCTGCTATAGCTAGTGCTGTTATTATTCTTCCTGTTACTATTATTACTATGACCATTACTATCAGTAGTAGTATTATCGACCACAATAACAAACCTCCCGACTTGAGAATTCCCTTAGTTCTGCTCTCAAAAAAATCCCAGGTTCTGGATAAGGGGCAGCTGATTATATAGAGATCGGGGAGCAAGTGGCGATTGCCTTGCAAACGCGTGGCATCGGAGCTGAAGAGCTGGGCTGGGCGGGGAGGCCGAGAGGGGAGCACCGGAGGAGGCCGGAGCAGGCTGTGGCTGTGCCGGGCGGGAGGAGGCTCTCACGCCGTGTCCTTGTCGCGCCGGAGAGCCATGTCCTGCCTGTGCCGGAGGAAGACTCTCCGGAAAGCAGCGCTGCAGATTTAGCCCTCCTGGGAGGTAAAATCGGAGATGATAGAAATGCCTAGTGTGACTGCTTAGCAATCGCTTCCCTCTCCGTTCATGGTGGTGCGCTGGAAATGGGGGCTGCTTTGCGGGGTTTGAGGAGGCGCGATCTGGGTTTATAGCTCCGAGCCGCGCCGGGGACAGAGGGGGCAGTTCACAGGGGCTTGTCAAGTTAAAAAAGCCCGGGCAGATTAAACAGCAAGGGGAGCCCAGGAAGGGCCGCAATACACAACCAGCCCCGAGATGTGGATTGGGAAGGCGCTTGGGGAGGCGCACGCTCCCATTGTCTGCCCCGGAGCTCACTTCGCACGTTGTCAGGGCCGAGCTTTGCCTAAGAGCAGTCGGACAAATCGGTTGAGAAGTTGTTTTTCGCTAGTGGAAGTTGTTTCCCCCCCTAATCTTCCACCAGTAATACTACTACTGCTGTCAGATTAGCCTGTGAAGAGCTTGTAGGTTTAATTAACTGTGGAGGCACCGATTTATTAGGTCTTGGACCTCCCCCCACCCCTGCGATCTGTAAAAGGAAACATGCTTTTTATTTTTGTCTCCCCGCTGACCAAAAGCCTGCTGGTTTCCAGACATTTTCTTGTCCTCGATCTGCAGGTTTCTAATTTTTCCCCCCCTTCACCTCACTGGAGATTGGTCAATTTGATGGGAGCACCAGCCGGGGCTTGCTAAGTGTTTTGAGGTCGCATGAGAGAGAAGTGTTGTGAAAAACAAGATCCTATTTTTTTCTTTGCCTGCTGCTCCTTATGAACCTAAGACATGAAGGCACCGCGGCAACATGTTACCGAGCTGCTGGGGAGTTTCTTTGGCAATTCTGCAGTCGGTAGTGCGGATTCAATTACTATGAGCTTGCCCACGCGATTGGGGTCTACTGAATGCTTCTTTTTTTAAGCATGCCAATATCTGTTCACGGTGGGGGGAAATGCAGTGCTCCTTACGCCGGTCAGCTCCCTTGTCTGAAGAGTTTGTGAGTTGTTGTTTTTAATGACCCTCACTGTTGGCGACTGTAGTTTTTGCATAACTAACCCGAGTCTTACATTTCCTCCCCCCACCCCCCTCCTTTCCCTTAAAGGTTTGGTTCAAGAACCGCAGAGCCAAATGGAGAAAGAGAGAAAGGAACCAGCAAGCTGAGCTTTGCAAAAACGGTTTTGGTCCGCAATTTAACGGTCTCATGCAGCCCTACGATGAAATGTACCCGGGCTACTCTTACAACAACTGGGCAGCTAAAGGCCTGACCTCTGCTTCCCTGTCCACCAAAAGCTTTCCTTTCTTCAACTCTATGAATGTCAACCCTCTGTCTTCTCAGAGCATGTTCTCCCCTCCAAATTCCATCTCCTCCATGAGTATGTCTTCAAGCATGGTGCCCTCTGCAGTCACTGGGGTCCCCGGTTCCAGCCTCAACAGCCTGAATAACTTGAACAACTTGAGCAATCCCTCCCTGAATTCTGCAGTGCCAACGCCAGCTTGTCCTTATGCTCCTCCAACACCTCCTTATGTTTATAGGGACACATGTAACTCTAGCTTGGCCAGTCTGAGACTTAAAGCCAAGCAGCACTCCAGCTTTGGATATGCCAGTGTGCAGAACCCAGCTTCCAACCTGAGCGCGTGTCAATATGCTGTGGACAGACCCGTGTGAGATATTCCAGTATAAAATACTGAACGGGAATCCCTCCCCTTCCCCGCAGAGACTGAGAATTAAACTAGAAAGTAATGGGCACTATAGAGAAAGAGAAAGGAAAAAAGGAGAGAGAGAGAAAAGAGAGAGAGAAGGAAACCACTGAAATAAGATAGCTCCTTTGTTTTCAAAGGATCTCCGACAGTTTCTGACATCCTTCATTTAAGAGTATTTCCAACAGTTACAAGGACATATATATATATATATATATATATATATATGGACAGACAAATGTTTGACTGGATATGATATGACATTTTAATGTTACTATAAGCTTGTTATTTTTTAAGTTTAGCATTGTTAACATAAAATGACTGAAAGGATGTATATATATCGAAATGTCAAATTAATTTTATAAAAGCAGTTGTTAGTAATATCACAACAGTGTTTTTAAAGGTTAGGCTTTAAAATAAAGCATGTTACACAGAAAGCGATTAGGATTTTTTCGCTTGCGAGCAAGGGAATGTATATACTTAAATGCGACACTGTATGTTTCTAACATAATTATTAAAAAAAAAACCTTGTGTGAATATCAGTTTTAGAATAGTACCTCTGGTGGATGCAATGATGTTTCTGAAATTGCAATGTAAAACATGCCCTGTGTATAACATTTCGTACAATATTATTGTTTTACTTTTCAGCAAACATGAAAAAATGTGTTTTATTTCATGGGAGTAAAATATACAGCATACAGTTTTGTCTGGATTTTTTTTTAATCAATTAAAGTGTGCAGCGGCACCGCCCTGAATGATTGACTGATCGATGACACTGGATCCCCTTCTTTGGAAACACAGGGCAGTAATTTTTTACTGCAAGACAAATAAATTGCAGGGTTTTTCACACACATACAAAAATCCCTCCTTCTAAAGTTACACGCTAAATAAACTCTGTCCTCGCAACTCCCTGGGTTTCTGCAAAGTAGACAAGATTCCTTTATTCCCAGGAACAGAGCCGAGAAAAGAGCTTGCTTGATACTGCTGGACTCGAGATTTCACCAGTCAAAAAAATAAAAGTTGGTACTTGTGGAGTAGCAACCGCTCCCGCTGCGAAGGAGGCTTTTATTAAATAAACCCCCCGAGTTTGCAAACAAACACCTTCTGTTCGCAATAATCCCCCACGCTCACTTTTTTCCCCCCTTAAGTAGAGCGATCTCTCATGTAATATTACATTTCCATCTCCAAATCCCTTTTCAGACATTAGCAGAAACAAAGACCACTCCAAGCTCTGAGCGCCCGAAAGGTTGAGAGGTTAGCCTGAAAGTTTCCTGCGCCTTGTACTGCGGGGTGTAGTTGAAGGGAAAGGTCGTGCTCTCTGTGTTTTGTTTTAAATAATATTGACCCATTCATTCTAAACCTGCTTGTTCGTGAAATGATACAGGATTATACTTTGCAATCTCCGGGACAATGAAGCAAATCAAGATGAATTACAGCTTTGGCCCTCCCATCTGATGACATCTGAACTGGCAAGGAAAAGTCTGGGACTGTGCAAAGCGTTGAGGAGTGAGTGCGTGTGCGAGAGAGAGGGAGAAGGAGGGGATTTGGGACTTCAGCATCAAGAGGGAAGTATTAAAGCACGGAGGCGACTGAAAGCAACGAAGCTGGCTGGTGGGGCGAGACTGGGAATGGGCTGGGACCTGGAACTGGGATTCCCCCGGGCCTCGGAGGAGTGGGACCCGCGTGTGTATGTGTGTATGTGTGTGCGTGTTCCTTTGCGCCGGGGTGTGTCTGACCCGCCTGCAGCTTCACCTCCAGGCAGAGCAGACACTGCGCCTTTGTTCTGCCCGGACTCGCTGCCACTCCGACCGCGATCGCAGATAATGCCCCGCTTTACAAGCCGCGCTCGCTGCACATTAACTTGCGTCTCTTCTCTGGAGGAACCGCTCCGAGACCTGCGGGTCCAGGCCCTTTGGACAGCGAGTCACCTCCCGCCTCCACCGGCTCCTTTGCAGCTGGGGTGAAAGGGGAGACCCTGGATCTGGCACTGGTGGGTCTTGGTGGGGGGCGAGGTTGCCTGGCAGGTTGGAAGGGGCAAGAGCAGGGTTCCTGGGAGCCGCTTGGCCCTCGGGCGATGCAATTCAGGCCGGATCCTCAGGGGGCTTCAGGTTGGGCGCCCCCAGCAAGGCGGAGTGGGGCAAGGGGGTGGAGGTGCTGGGGAGGGGGGTTGTGGCTAAAGCCTCCCAGGCGCCTGAGGCAGAGGGGCTGCTCCGGACCCCCCCCCCAACACACACACACACACACACCCACACACACACACACACACCCCTACCTCTCCAACCCGCACCGGCTCCAATCGATTCTCTGCACCATGTCAACACTTAATGCTGGTGAGTGCAAGGGGGGGTCGCTGCGGGGCTGCTGCTTCTTCCTTCTTTCCACCCCCCTGCGTGATGTCCGGGCTTGCCGGATTACAGCCTGCCCCGCCGGGCTGCGGGTCTCCGCGGGACCTGACTCCGCGGGGAAACACGGTGACCTCACAGCCCCCTTCGCCGCCGGCCTCTCTCCCGGCGGGGCAGGACAGCCACCTCCTCTCGGGACCTCCCAGCCGGGCGCGGGGCACGCCAAAGTGTCCTCCTTCCCGGCGCTCTTCCTCTCCCGTGCGGGCCGCTGCTTCGCTTTGTGCCTTGCTTGGTTGTTTCTATTTTGTGCACCTTTTGTACATGTACCGGGGTGGGGGTGTAAGTATGGGTGTACACGGACGTGGATATATGTGTGCGTGTGTATACACACATTTACTATATATACTATAGTTAGTATATCTAGTATAGAGATATAGAACTATATACTATATTATAGTAATACACAATATTTATATATCTCCAATAGTCTGGGTCTGGGACTGTGTGTGTGTGTGTACGTACGTGTACACACACACACACATACTATTGGAGATATATAAATATAGTTACAGATATATAGATTTCAGATCCAAACTATTGGATATGTAGATGTAGATGTAGAGGTAGATGTAGATGGAGACATATGCAGGTATATGTGTACATGTACCTGTACCTGTACATGTACATGAATATCTATCTATCTATCTATCGAATATATGTGAATATATTAACATGAATGTATTAATATATATTCATATATTCATTTTAATATACTCATATATATGTGTGTGTGTGTGTGTGTGTGTGTGTATCTCAGACCCAAGATATTGGAGAGATATAGATTTCAAGATATATAGATCCCAGATCCAAACTATATGTATATGTATATGTATATATTTCAGCCCCCAGTTCCTGGATCTCCGCTCGTGCCCGGCTCGGAGGCCGAGAAATCCGGGGGCCCGCGGTGGGGGCACACAGCCCGGCGGGTGTAGGCTGAATTTCTCTCTCTCCCTCAAGTCCAGAGGCTCATAATTTCTCTGCGCCACTTGACCAAAGATTTAATGTTTGGATGAGGTCGTAAATCAACATGTTTTCTTGTCTTCCCTTCCCCTTATTAGCGATGGCAGCTTGAACACGGAACAATTTGGGGTAGTAAATATATACATCTACTATTTTTAATGAAGAAGAAGAAAATAAAGTGGAGTCTTAAAAGTCCCAGGGCTCATAAATTAACCAGCTGATGTGCGGCTGCTCTTTTGAGGACTCTATTAAACCTCGGGCGAGTGAAATGGCAGAGAGCCCCAGTGTGAACAAACATTGCTGTCTGGGTCCCAATCCACATCTCAATCCACAACGGCACCGGCGGCCCTCGCCCCCCTCCGGCCGGCCGAGCAGACCTCGCGCTGCAGCCTGCCCCAGGCCTTCAGTGCCGCCGCGCTAGGGAGCGGGCATGTCTCCGAGCACAGGCCGCTCTGGACCGGCTTCGGCGCTGCTCGGCTCAACTCAGCTCCCCCGTGTCGCCGGGCCCGGAGCAGGAGGGAGACGCGAGAGCTCGCTCGCCCTGGGGCTTAGCTGGGGACGGCCCACCCGCCCCTGACCACAGTGCTTTTCCCGGGAACACAATGCCCTTTTTATCCCACAACGAGTTCACTTGGAACCGCTTCCCCGAAGGTACCTGATTTTTTTTAAAGATCTATTTGCAAACGAAGCAAAATAACCAAGCCATGTTTATTTCTGCAAGCTTTCAGAAATAGCCCGCGATTGCTTTCTCTGTGTCCCGCTCTTTCAAATATAAGCCTTAAAAAAAAATTCAAAAGTCTCTTGAAGCAATAGTCAAAGGTTTCTTTCTGTTTGTTGTGTGAATTCAGGATGCCCCCCTTTAGCTGCTACCTTTGTGATTCAGGAGACAAAACTGCAACTGTTTTAGTTTCTATAATTAAAAATATTATTTTCAGGATGCGCTGTGTATTGTAGTGACTAATTCTGGATTCGCTTAGAAGGGGAAAGGAAATTAAGAAGAGGCAAGCCTATGCAGTTTAATCCTATGCAGTTATTTACTGCAAGCAAGAAAGGAAGCAAGAAAAAGAAAGACAAACACATACAGAAAGAGACTGGCAGAAAAGGCAGGAAGGAAGGAAAGGAAAGGAAGAAAGAAAGAAGTTTTAGCGTTTCTACCACTAAAACTTCCATGAGAATCTTTTGGCGGGGAAATGACTTCCTTTAGAAATAGGCGACATTTAAGATGAGATGTATTCAGCACAGGAATGTCTGAAAGCAGCTTTGCAGGTTTTCCCGGGATCATATAAAATGGACACGCCAGGGTGCCTGGGAGGGTCCAGGATCGTGGTGTTTTCCATACAGTACCCCAAGCTCCGCTGGGAGGAGAGGAAGCAAGAGACATCTGAGCAATGAAAACACATCAACTCTTCCTTCTTCCAAGTCTGGGGTTTGCAATGAGCTCACTTTGCACCCAGTGCTGGCGTGTGAATGCGAAGCAGTTGTCCTCCTCTGCATACGTGTGTGTTGGCGTGTGTGTATCTCAGTCACACTGTGGACATGCCTGTGCATATTTCAGGCTAACTCTGTGTGTGTGTTTCCAGCCCAACGCTGTGGGTGTGTTTCAGGCCAGCTGTGTGTGTGTGTGTGTGTGTGTGTGTTTCAGACGAGTCCTGGATGGGGACTTCAGACAAACCGGCACAAGCAAAGCCAGGGTTCAGCTAGAAAGTGTCCTTAATCCTCTCCATTGTGCCTGCCTAGCCATGGCCGCGGGTCGCTGGTGTGCAGCCTGATTTCACATCTCACACTTTCAATAATACCTAAGCATTCCAAGGGCATATAATTTACCTTGCT